GTGTTGCCTTGTGCGTTTCAGTGCCGTTAGAGTGGACCACTAAAGTAATTTTGTTTTATTATTATCTCAGCAGTCTGTTTAATGATCTTATTATTGCTTCCCCAGATCTACAACCCAGGGCAGCCTTGTAATCCCCATATTTCAGATGGAAGACTTATTTAAGGCACCTAATGTCATCTGTGGCCCAGGTGAGATTTAAACTGGGGCATTTCTAGTTTGCACTTTTAGGCACCTGATCTCCATGCTTTTCATGGTGTTGATGATAGTTTGAAAACATCTGCCTCTATTGCCATCTTTAAAATAAAGATTAGCTGCAATCCTGCAGTATAGACTCAGTACGGATAAATATGTTATGTAGGTTTGCCAACTCTGGGTTGGGAAATACCTGGAGATTTTGGGTTGGAGCCTGGGGAGGGCGGAGTCTGAGGCGGGGAGGGACCTCAGCAGGGTATAATTCCATAAAGTCCACAACCCAAAGCAGCCGTTTTCTCCAGGGGAACTGATCTAGGTAGTCTGGATATCAGTCGTAAATCCAGGAGATCTCAGCCCCATCTGGAGGTTGCCAGCCCTCACATTATGTTGGGCCTTTGCCTGGTGGAGGAGCAGCTTATTACTTTCCCTCCACCATGCTGGTGATGTAAAATATGAACTGGGAGAAGGGTTCCCAAACGTGTTGATCCTGTGGGCTCTTTTGCCATCACAAAAAGGCTGCCATGGGAGCTGTTTTCTCTCCCTGCCACTGGGTGCATTTTCATTTTTTAAAATTGGTACTAGTATATCATATTGATAGCCATTGTAAACAGGGCCTTTGACTTCTCAGCTTTCATTTTAAAAAGTAGGTCTCTAACGCCTTCCATTGCAGAGATACAAGGAAAAGCATATCTTTGCAACAAAAGTGGCTAGAGACTTTAAAAAAGCAAGCAAGCTGGGAGTTCACAGAGTCTGTTATGCCAGTTGTTACAACAGTATATCGGTATAATATTTCTTTGCCAGTTAAAAAAATTGCAGAAGCCCTGGTGGCCAAGGGATGGTGGTGGTGGTGGCCACTGGTGTGGGACCTGTAAGATTGTCAGGCCTGGACTGGCAACCAGTGGGAGACCGGGGTGGGGAGCTTTAGCAATTGCATGACATCACTTCTGGGAAAACCCCAGAAATAATGTCACACCCTTCTAGGAATTGCTGGAAACCCTGTGGTAAAACTGACAGCAATCCCTAGCAAGGTGTGACGTCACACCTGGGTTTTCTGGGATGTCACACTGTCACCAATGGCCATAATTTATTTATTTATTGCTTTTGCTTCCAACTGCCTGCTGCTGGAGTACTGATGGAAAGACCCTCTAGGGGTGGGAGATCTCTCCCAGTGGACACATGGCAACCCTAGGGACCAAGGCAGGGAAACCTGCGTGTGTGGAAGCCCCTTTGCTGCTGTGCTTTATCTGTGGTCACAGCTGTAATAGGAAAACCGCATAAGCCCCCTCTTAGTGCAGAAGCCACCTTAACTTGACATACCTTAGGGCCTCAGCGTGTTTTATCTAGGCATGGGAGGAAGGGAGTGGGTGCCAGAAAAGACAGCAGTGGGTATCATGGGGCCTGCGGGCACCGCCCTGGGGATCGCTGTGTGGGGGCCACTCTACATACAAATTCCCATTTGCTCAGAGATAGATGTCAGGGTGAAATCACACCAGCAGGGTCTCTGCTTGAAAGGGCATTCATATGGAGCCCCAGGTTCTTAGAGCAGGTGAGACAGACACCAGGTATTGCATAAGAAGGGGGTCAGAATCACTCAAGCCTGGGTTTTTCACTTGTGACATTTAGAACTATTTTTAAAGCTCAGAGCATGCCAATATTGACAGTAATGAGGCATTTGTCTATACGCATTTAAATTGGGGAAAATATTTTAGCAGTCTCTGGTGAGGCAACTTGTCGGGAAAGTAACAGTGGAACATTTTAGTTAATACAATGAGTGAGATGTTACTGTCGGCTTTGAAATTTCCTGACAGAATCCCTGCATCCACAGATATTTGGAGGCTTTCTGTAAAGAGTCAATTATACAAGAAGTCTGATCCCATTATCCAATTTTGCAGGCAGATTGTGCGGTTAATTAATCGGTATTTATTAATATAGTATGTGTCCTGTGGCCCTATGTAGTGTAGCTCTTACAGTGGATTTCCAGAGGGCTGACACACCTGCAGTTCTTACAGACGTTCCTTTGAGGGGGTAGCCATGTTAATCTCCTAAGTAAGAGTCTTTTGGGTCTCCTAACTGGCTCTCCTAAAGACTGACTGATTTATTGCCGCATGAGCTTCCATAGGCTAGAGCCCATTATCAACCAGATGTGTTTTCTAGGAGCTGGATTAAAGAGAGAGATGGATTCCTGCTAATACTGGTCCCAGGTCATGGTCTGAAGGAATATGATGCAGCGACTTTACTAATCTAAGTCTGGTGAGTACCTGAATATGAGACATTTGGACAACCCTAAGTAAGGCAGAATATCAGGACAGTATATAGCAAGAGGACGGAGAAGGAGAAACCTGATCTCTTCAGTCACCTGTTGTCAGACCAGTGACTACTGACGACTTGTATATTAGCATCCCTGCCAAAGGCTAGTCACTTGGCTATAAAACATGGAACAGAATGAACTTTGAAATAGCCCCATGTTCACTTGAACCAAAAGATCATTTGGGCTCTGTCAGCACATGCATAGAGTTAAATTTGCTAACTTCAGAGTTAGCCAGCCTGTCTACATCTTCAGTAAACTAGATTTTATCACATCTCTTCATTAAACTTGGATAAGATCTTACAAGGTTTCTTTCAATGACAAATAATTCAACTTTCCATCTAGCTGGCCTAACTAATAACTTGCTTCATGAAATGTATAGCTTCATTTGTCTGGAAGATACAAAATTAATCTTGGATTTCTGGGCCTTTATCATGCTGCATCAGATTTTTAATTACACACTTTGGAATAAATGAACACATGTGGCTATTCACTGTTAAATATGATAGTCTAATTGAATGCCAGTATCTCCCCCCCCCCCAATTTTTATGCTGTATTTATTAGATTATAAACCTTCAGGCAGGGCCAAGTTTCTTTTTAATAATTTTGTACAGCACCTGGTTGTTATAAGTATAATAACAACAACAAGGACAATTCTCAAATGAGAGATAGTAAAGGTTTTCCTCAGTAATGGAGCATTTACAATTTGCAAAGAGCTGCTAAATAATTCAGCTTTTGGAATACTTTTCTTCTTCCATTTCACTTTGCCCTCTTATTTCACTGATGATCATGTGTATTATGATTAATGTCTGAATCATATAAAATGTGTTTGCATGATTATCTGCTCATCTATGCAATTACAACAATCAAATTATACCGGAGATCTATGGGTCCATTTTGTTCAGCTTCCATTTCAAAATCTAGATGATATTACTAGCTTCAGTACTCATGGGATTCCTAAGACACAAAGGTTCCCAGCTCATAATTTCACTACAACAGTTCTTTCTAGATCTTCAAAAAGTTGCATAGCCAACTTGTGGAGAGGGAGCACGATTGCATCTTCTGTCCTTTCCACAAAACGTGCTAATTGGAAGGTCAGAATAGAGCCTATGCACATGCAAATTTATTTATTCAGGGTATTTTTTTAACCTTTTCCATGGAACTGGACTCAAGGTAGATTGCAGTGATAATAAAGCAACAAAAAATAAAAGTGGTCTCAAGAGAACATGGAGGGGGGGGGAACTGGGGGAAAACAAAAAACCCAAAGTGAAAACTAAAGGCACAGAAATTAGTGCAGAACTTAGGTGATAAACCCAGAGGTCATTTTGGGGGGGATCGCAGTTCCCCTGGGTGAGGTATGGGGGCGGAGCACATGATGAGCCCCGCCCCCTGCTTCCGGCCGCCCCGCTTCCGGCCCTCATTCAGCCAGGAGGAGGCAGGAGAAGAGGGAGAGTAAGTTGCTTCCTCCCTGCCTCTCCCCACCCCTGCTTGCCTGGGGCCAGGGAGGGCCTTCGCGGGGCTTCCTTGCACTCCCCGGTGATGTCAGGGGGTGTGGCATATGCTAATGAGTTATGCTAATGAGTTCCCCTAGCTCTTTTTCTACGAAACGACCCCTGGATAAACCAAAGCAATGTTGGGTCAGAATTAGCCAAACAAACAAACAAACAAACAAACAAACCCATATGTAGAAAAGCCCTTTGTCTGCAATAAAACCCAGAAATAAATCTACAGAGGAAATATTGGCATTGGGGTCTGTTCTTTGTGACCGAGTTCTGTCTCTCCATCAAATTCATACACTAATGCTGCTGGTGTGTTATACTATAATGATATTTATAAGGCCACTTGATTGTTTTGAGACTCAGCACTATCAGTAGTTTTACCTTGTCACAAAATGAGATCTGAACCGACCTGACCACTGCTGTCATCTTCAGGGGCCCTTTTTGGGGGGTTCCATACCATCTGAGGCTTGATGGGTGGCACTGGCAATATAAGAAAGGGCCTTCTCTGTCATGGCACCAAAATTGTGGAATACCTGTCCCCCTGTCTCCCTCTAACATTGTCTTTCACCACTGGGGGAAGTCTTATCTGTTTCATCTGACATTCCTTTGCTGAGTCTCCTTCTTCCTGTGTATGCGTTTAACAGTTTATATAGTCTGTTTCATTGTTTGTAATTGTTTTTATAGTGTGTAGTTTTAAAGCATGTTGTAATGTTTCTGATTGCCACCTTGGAGACCCTAAACTGGGTACAAAGGTGGTATAAAATATTTTAAATAAATAAATGCAATTAAACCTTAGTAAGCAAGAAGAGGGCATGGATGTTTTAAAAGTTACACATTGAACCTTAATTAACTCTTTTTAAATCCGTGGGAGGGGAGGGTAACCTGCAATATTGATTGGATCAGTTATAATGGTCTCTTTTTCCTTTTTGTTACAGCATGAGCCAGGGAACTGGAGCTGTTTCCTTGTAATTTTTTTAAATGATCTAGAGGCCTCTGACTTTAAAATGGCGACTGCTTCTTTGCGTCATGGAGTGACCATCACTGGAGCTATTCTGCTAGTGACAGGAACACTGTGTTTCGCTTGGTGGAGTGATGGTGAAATGGGGGCCACATCAAGCAGTGACCCTAATGTCATTCCTCATGGAGAAGCTGAACCAGTGACAAGTTCTTCCTCCTCCAATGCAGTTCTCAGGTCTATCAGCTTCTTCTGCTGTGGGATTGGTGGGCTCCTCCTCCTTTTTGGTCTCCTCTGGTCAGCAAATGCTGGAATTGTCTCTCGGCGCTATCAGTACCATTTTTCTAGAGACCTTCATTACTTCACCGTTGAGCCTCTTGAAAAACAGACTTGCAGGTTAGCAAGATTTCTGCAACAGTGCTTGATAGAGTCATGCATTTAGCTAGTTAAGAATATCTGTCAAATGCTGTAAAATATTGGTCAAGTATTTCAACTGCTACAGAATCACAAAGTTGGAAGGGACCTTCAGGGCCATCTAGTCCAACCTCCTGCACAATGTGGGAAATTCACAAATTACCCCCTCATGACCCTTGCTCCATGCCCAGAAGATGGCACACACCCCTCCAGGATCCCTCGCCAAACTGGCCGGGAGGAAAAGTACTTCCTGACCCCAAAGTGGCAATCAGCATTTCCCTGGGCATGTATTAACATAGAGAAAAAGAGAGCACTAACCTTGGAATAGTAACAATAGCCTTGCTCAGGGGTCGTTTCGTAGAAAAAGAGCTAGGGGAACTCATTAGCATAACTCATTAGCATATGCCACACCCCCTGACATCACCGGAAGTGTGTCATAAGGCCGCACACCCTGCCCCCAACGGTCCTGGCCGGTGGGAGTGCAAGGAAGCCCCGCGAAGGCCCTCCCTGGCCCCAGGCAGGCAGGGGTGGGGAGAGGCAGAGAGGAAGCAACTTACCCTCCCTCTCCTCCTGCCTCCTCCTGGCTGAATGTGGGCCAGATTCAACCAAACTGCAATCACAGTCAGCTGTGGGAACATGTTCTTAGGGCATTTTCACACATGATGCGTAAAACATTTTTGTATTTCCTGCCTTTGTAGTTCAAATACAAAACACTTGTAGTGCAATCCTAAGTAGAGTTACATTTTCCCAAGACCATTGAAGTCAATGTGTAACTTTGCTTAGGACTGCACTGTTAATAGCTTGAATGTACATTACTTTTCTCCTGCCAACCTAGCAGTTCGAAAGCAAGAAATTGCAAGTAGATAAATAGGTACCACTTCGGTGGGAAGGTAGCAGTGTTCCGTGCGCCTTGGTGTTTAGTCATGCCAGCCACATGACCACGGAAATGTCTTCGGACAGCGCTGGCTCTTTGGCTTTGAAACGGAGATGAGCACCGCAACCCTAGAGTTGGATTCGACTGGCTTTCGAGCAAGGGGACCTTTACCTTTACTTACATTACTTTTAGAAATGGTTGTTTTCTGGTTTCTGCCTCTTGTTAGGCATTCACACGTGTGCTCAGAGAAGCTCAGAAAATATTTTAATACCATGTGAAAAAAAGTCCTTTGTGAACTTCTGAAGTGATTATACATTTTTCTTCCTCTTTTTCAAGCATGGGATAGTGGCTTCAGAATTCTAATACAGCTAGTGAGTCTTACTGTGCGTACGTTTGTAAAACTTTTTAAACTAATCAAATGCCTTTTTTAAAAATCATAGACATAAGAATTGTTTTTTGCTCTTGGTTGTGTTTCAGCACCTGGGAAGCCAGCGCTATTCCTACCTATGAAGAAGCCTTGAGTTGCCAGCCTGCTGAAAATACCCCAAACTACATACAGTCTCACCGTATGAAAGAGAACAGGCCACCCTCGTATCGAGCGGCAGATGAGAATGACCTCTGGCATGGCAGCCGTAGGCGTAGCTCTTCTGATAGTGCTTTGTTCCGGAATATTCTACCACGGCTAGAGGCAGGATCTTGGGATGACGCAAGCATTGTCTGTGACACTCCACCACCGAGCTATGAGAGTATCAGCTCATGTGATGGATGATCCAGGGGGTTTGGTTCATCACAGATTGGGAATGTCTAGATTGCTGTCAAGTGCATTTCACTGCCACCTGTCTTTCCCCCTAAATGAATTAATTGTGGCAAGTAGGCATGGAAAAGGTTAAATAGCTATAAAAATGTGAACTATTGCTTTATCTTTTGTAGGAGCTGCTGCCTAACAATCCGAGATCAATTTCAGCATTGCTTTCTTTAGTGTATGGCTGATGTGTATACATTAAGCCTCATGTATTTAAATGCCCTGGATGTCCAATCCAAAGTTCATGGATAAATAAAATTTCAGCTATGTGGGACTTCTGTTGACAAACAGCTATAGTGTTACAGATCTGCAAGGATAGAATATTGTGAATTTAAGTAACCAGGCTCTGGGGAAAAGGCATGTGAAAAATGGAGAGATCTAAATTGTTTCTAGTTAATAAAATGTTTGTCAATTGAAAATTACATATATTTTATATGCATTGTGATGTATTGGCAAAATGTCCCAATTTCTACCAAATTTCTTCCCATTTCATTAGAAATTGCCAGATTATTCCGAATGTGGCTTAAATTGTATTCCAAGTACAACATGCCTGTCTTGAGTATGAAATCTGTCTAGCATTTCTGAGATTGGGGTCCAGAGATTGCTGGTACTCCATATAGTCTCTGACTCATAGGACAGAAGACACTTCCTGTGTATACATCTAATGTGAACAATGGAGCCCTCTCACATAGCTTCCAGATCACCTCAGAGAAAGGACAGTGATTAGTTGCTGGGATTCAGTAGCTCAGCCCTAAGAACTTTTAACTGTCAGAGTGGTACCCAGGGTCAGCCGTAATGAGTTAGGGCCCCAGGCAAAACTTGAAGAGGGGGTGGGGGCAAAATAATGCAGGCATCAGGGAACAGAGTGATCACGTGTAGGGCATTGCCCTACCCTACTGCAGGTGGCATTCTGCCTGACTCTAGGGCTGTGCAGGTGATCAGCGGTGCAATGTTCCCTCTAAGCTTCACAGTGTTATGAGCAGAAATTCTACCTCATGAGCAAAAAAAAGCTAGTAGCATTAAGTTGTGAGTCTATATTTGACTATCACGTAAATTAGTTTTTTAGATTACTTCCATAACTTTGTAAAAATCCCAGAATAAATTATTTTAAATTATATTTAAACTAGATTATAAGAATAATTTAAACTTCATAAGAGAAAACAGAAGTCAGATTTCTCTTACCCCTTTCCACTATATTAGTAGACCTCCAGAGAACAGGTCTACCCGCCCCAGTCCACTATATTGGTAGACCTGGCCTTGCATCGTCACCTTGCACTGACCCTTAGGAAATATACCAGCACTTGGGGGGGGGGGGAACTCTTGCAGTCTATTTTTTTAGTGAAATATGACAGCCAGCATTACAGGTCAAGTATAACAGAGGAGGAACAATCACTATCTGAACCCTGCCTAACCTAACAAACAGGAAGTTGCTTAAATGTTGTCAACCTGCCCAAACTATTTATTTATTCAAATATTTATATGCCATGTTTCCCTGTGACTCAAGGCAGCTTACAAATAATACTAATAAGCATAATAGGGGTGTACACAAATCATTTTTTCCAGCTCCATTGTAGCTTGTGAGGACCATCATAGTCAATAGGCCCCATAGGCTATAATGGATAATTGATCTGGGGGTATCTGGGGCTCTGGGGGGGTATTTCTTAGGTGGAGGCACCAAATTTGCAACATAGCTGCTTGTGCCTCTCCTCAACCTCCCTCCCCCCACAAAGTTTCAAAAAGATTGGGCCAGGGGGTCCAATCCAGAAGGAGGTGCCCCTATCCTCCATTGTTTGCAATGGAGGGGGAAAATGCCTTGTGAGCAGAAGCAGAAACTCCTGCACTGCCTGTTAAAATTTTGTGTGCCAGCACCCGCTAGCACAGCTTAGAGGGGACTATGGCAGTGACTCTGTGCTGGCAGGAGCTTCAGTGCAGTGGCTGGGGCAGATGGCTGCAGTGTAGTAGTGGCTCTCCGCATGCCCCCCCCCCCATGCAGGGCGCAGGGTACCTCCTCAGAAGCCGTGGGGCTAAGGCGGCTTCTGATGGCACCAATGAGATACAATGCTAGCACAGTTCTCATAGTTACCATAGGTATAAAATTTAACTAATTTTCAGTCTGTTTTGCAATGCAAAGGATATCACTAAACTGCTGGAGAGATGATACTCTGAATCTATAGGCAATAATAGCTAATGGTGATTTTTAATCCACTACTGGAAGTTCAAGTTTTGTGTGATGCTGGTCTTTTTCTATTTCTGTGAACAGCTCAATTTCTCTGAACTGCTTTCCAGGCCCTTTCCTAGCCATGTTCATCTGGCCTTTGTCCTGAAGTTATTAACAAATAAGGAAGTTCCATGTTATCTCAAGCACAAAGTTTCCTCCACCCAAGAGATGAGATTTATTAAAGCTTCAGGTTAGGGTCTTTTGAGTTGTGACCCTATAGAATCAGCTGTTCTCTGAGACCTGACTGTGTATGCCATGTAGAGACAATACAAATACTTTGTTTAAATTTGTTTGTAAAGCATAACTAATGTGGTTCTCGCTTATTGTTAGGAGGAAATTATGAGACAGAATTGTTCATGATTTGGCATACACATTGTAAAAGGGCAGTCCAGTTCAGGGCCATGAAAAATCTTAAATCAAGATTGAGGGGAGGGGGCATGGTCAGGTTGCTGAAACGTGAGAGCTGTTGCTTTAACATGTCTTCAGTAGCCTATAAAATGTTGCTAGGAGATTGTGGTACTTGGAGAACATCTCAAGCTTCAGGTACCCATGTTAAAATTCTGTGGCAGTTTTACCATTGACTTCAGTGGGACTTGTCCTCTCCTCCACTCTATTGCAGCATCAGCTGTTGTGGCCTAGAGCCCACAACTTCAGATTCTAGTGTGAACCCTCACTATTCAGTTGCTTTATGTAGGAGGTTTGATCTAAGCAAACAGACAGCAGGGTCAAAGGGCTATGAAATGCTGGAAGTACAGAATGAAGAGTAATTACATTAAATTAAAATCTAATCAAGAAAAATATAGAAACCATTCACTAGTTATGCTAAGCTAGTTAAATCCCTAAGCAGGGATTTAAGTTTTGTTGAGATGGTCACAGTAATAGATAAAAACCCTAAATCCTGGTTCAGCTCAGGGGAGGGAGTTGTATGAAACACTGTGGCTGATTCTTACAACCTTTAGAGTGAGTGCTGAATTTGCTTGTTGATGGTGCTTCTGTGTTCCTTCATGGCAGCACACCATGCCGGCAATGTATGTGTATATGTTCTGTGAGCATAACCATTGCCTTGCAAGATCAGACCAAGGTCCATGTATATTCTTTTTTCCAGCTGTGGATGTCTGAGAGATTTACAAGTCAATTACGGTGGTATTATTAGGATTATGAACCTCCAGGTGGGGCCTGGAGATCTCCCAGAATTACAACTGATTTCTAGATGACAGAGATCAGTTCCCCTGGAGAAAATGGCTGCTTTGGAGGGCGGACTGTGTGGCAACATACCCTGTGGACGTTCCTCTCCTCCCCAAATCCCACCCTACTGAAGCTCTACCCACAAAATCTCCAGGTATTTGCCAACTTGGACCTGGCAACCCTAGCAATAGCCATCCCTTAACTATGCTGTTCTTCTGCTTGGGTCCTGGGCCCCAAAGCCTCTGTGTTTTCTCAATTTAAGTGTGAGACCCCTGTCAGCCCAGGTTCACTGCATATGACTAGTCAAATATTACTGCATAATCTTCATAGTCAAGTTAGAGCCCACAGCCTGGTGAATTTGTATTCACACAGTGACTTGTAGCAAGGGATCCCAAATATGAGGTCAGTATTAACTAGTGGAGCACAATATCATTCATAGCTATGTTTCCCACCCAACAAATTCTGTGGGGAAATGGCAAGAAAGAAGATGAGGGTGACGATAACTAAGGGAAGCAGTAACCGTCACAGGGAGGCAGCCAGATGTTACTAATGAGTTATTGAGATGGTTTTGGATCTACAGACAACTCTCTGAATAAGGCTGCCATCTCTTGTTTTGACTCAAAGTGAGTTTTTAAAAGTTGTCTGTTGAGCAAACATCAGGGATACTTTCTCTTATTAGTTTAGACTTTGGTCAGTAGGAATTGATGTACTTCTTATGGGTGAAGGACTGGTCACTCCGAAGTTCTGCTCTGAGCTGATGAATTGATGTTAATTGGTCCTGGAAAACCATTTTTTTTAATTTGGTTAGGATGATCACTTAGAATCAGAGATATGAAAGAAACTTGCAGGCCTTGCATGCCGCTTCTTAAACCAAGGCAGAATCCCATAGACCCCTTGGATATTCTTAACAGACAGATTATCCTGTAGAATTTGGGTTATAGTATGCTGCAAACAGACAAGGAGCAAGGTGCACTGTATATGATGCCATTAGGATTTGGAATTACCAACTTGGAAAAAATAGTAATGTACAATGAATGCAGCTTCTAAGGAAAACATGTAATTTCCTGCTGTTTGATATCTCCCCTGCCCTGCCCCGCCCCACAAATTATATGCCAGGTTTTGAATGATTGCAGCTGTTGAGTCAGGGCAATGATAAGTTGCTATTATGGGTAGTTGCCCATGTATAGATGTGATTGTATTGCAAGAGAAAGGACAGAGTTCCCCGGTTCCCACACGCTATAGCAGCTGGAAATGGATGTCCTGTAAAACTGTCATGTAACATACCATTTCAAAAGCAGTAACACTGTGGGGAAACGAGCTTCAATATAGGCAAAATATATAACTGAAAAACAAGTGACTGAAAAGCAAGAGAGAATTAAACTAGGTTTTTAAAAAAAATCTGCTCCAATGGCCATCATGGACCTATGCCAGGTCAGACCAACCACCGATCTTTTGGTTGCTGGATGTTGATGTCTGAGTCAACAGAAGAGAGTGTTCTCTAGAGATAAGAACAAAAGCTTGATGTTTTGTTTGTCATGCTGTATAATGTGCACAAAATGTACAG